GAGCTGGGGATCAGTTGAGCAGTGATGAGGAACAGGGCAGAGCTAGACAGGTGAATGAAATTAGCAATCAAGCCAGCCATCAGAGCCCAAATCATGACAGCTCCTTCAGTACTAATCCTGTTGTTGGCAGATTTTCTAAACAGGTTCTAATAATGGAAGGCCCGTCATCTGAACGGAAACCAGTAGACCCTGGTTTTTGATCTGATGTCGAATCAGTAAATGAGTGACGGGTTGATCAGGATGGAGCAGCGCCACCTCTGCAGGATGACGACTCCTGACCCAAGTGTACACCCTTTGTCTCCTTACAGGTACCTCTTCTCCGCCATGCTCCAGCGGGCGCTCCTCGCTCCCATGGTCTGGATTCTGGTCACTTTGTTAGATGGGAAGATTTTCATCTGTGCTTTCAGCGTCACTGTAGACCCTGGGCTTTTCTCAGGTAAACCTGAGCTCGGAATAACGCTTCATGCAGGCAGCAGGCCCTGGTTCTTTTCTAATGCCCTGTGTGTCCTCAGGTGTCCCCAACAACACGGGCCTGGATGTGATTAAAATCATGGCCAAGGTGCCCTGCAAGGAGGATGTCATCTTTAGGAACAGCTCCTTCCGTAAAGCCGTCTCCAGATATGTGCGATGCTACTCTCAGGTACGCTAACCCTCAGTCCAACACAGGGGTTGCCAATTCCGGCTCCTGAGGGCTGCTACTCTGCAGCCTCTAGGTTTGACCTTAGTCAACCTCCTCAGGATGCTGTCTGTTTCTGCAGTCCTCTTATTCATCTAATTACTTGTTTAATGTGTGTTGGACTAAGGGGGTACCTAAAAGCTGCAAGATAGTGGCCCTAAGGAACCAGAACCTTCCACCCCTAGTCCAACAGGTGTAGCTATGGCTCCTGTAGGACCACTGATGCATTTATGGTGCAGGGGAACAGTTTTACCTTTTAAGGATTTCCTGTCTTTGCTGTTCCCTCTATCCTACACATTCCGAGTGTTTAAAGCAGAGAGTACACACCAACAGGTGTTTAGAGATGAGATCCAGAAAGGTGCCGGTAGAGTGGGTAGATAGGCAGGGTGGATGTGGCTAAGGGTGGGATTTACCAATAGGCAATACTAGGCAGTTGCCTAGGGCCCCAGGTTCCTGGAGGCCCCATAAAACTCTGTATACATGTATGGTTAATACAACTATTCCTTATTTGTTCACATTAATTATGTGTTTAATAGAAATCCTTTTGCAAAAATGCCATCAGAATGCTTATATACCGTATTAAGTGTGTCTCAGCCCCCCTTCAGTTTCCACCATATTGGATCAGTCCATTTGCTGCACATGTTCAGAAAGATCCAAACAGACAGCGGCAAACCATTTGAAAACAAACGGGCCAAAGAGCAGTGTTGCAAATTTAGCGCTTTAGTCGCTATATTTAGCAACTTTTCAGACCCCTCTAGCACTTTGATTCCAAAAAAGCGCCTAGCGCCAAATCTAGTGACTTTGGGGACAACATAAAAAAGCATCATTTGTTAAGAAAGAAAACAGTTTAACATTCACCTGGCCCATTTTCTGTAAGAACAGATGAGACGGTAATGAGTCAAAAGCAGAACTAGAATCAATGAACAAAAGGCGTGCATAGACTTGGGGATCTTCCAGATGCTTATGTAGCAGGTTGGTGATGCGTCCCTGGGTCTGTTTGAAGACTAACAGCTTGTGTCTCCTGCTCTGATCTCCAGGCAGTAGGCTGGTCCATCCTCCTGTTCCTTATCGTAGTAGGAGCACTGGGACGCCTCATCAAGCCCTGCTTTGATGACCACGCCGCTTTCCTGCAGACACGGTACTGGAGCAACTACCTGGATGTGGAGCAGAAGCTTTTTGATGAAACCTGTGTCCTCCATGCCAGGGACTTTGCCCGCAAATGTGTGGTCCAGTTCTTTGAGGACATGACAGAAGACTCCATTCTTCATCTGCCACATCCACCCTTCATCACCAAGGCCAGCGAGAGCTGGGAGGACGAAGAGGACAGACTCCATGGGATAACCAAGCAGGAGCAGATGGACCAGCTGCTCAACAAGTGGTACTACAGCAAACCTGAACTGGACGTGACCAGGATGGCTCACAGACCGCGGCCGTGCGTGACCTGGGAGGACCCCGGAGGGAAGACTTTATACTCGGATGTCTGACTCTGGCAGCTTTGGTGACTGCAGCACGGAGGTTGGAAACATTTCCTGGAAAACACCGGAATTTAAAATAGGAAACTGTGGTTATGGAGATGACCTGTTGATAGTTTATATCCTAATAAATCATTGGTATATCGAATGCAGACGGTGGTGTATCAGTTTGTGAAAGAATTGGTTCCTGATACCGACTGGAGCAACTGATCCTAAAAGGCTTCTTTAGAGACGCTGAAGCTTCTCCTCTTTCTAAACCTCCAACTTCTCCAAAAAAATAATTTTATCTACACTTCAAAGTCAAGATTTGATCAGATCTTCTGTTGTTTCTTAGAAAAAGCAGTATCTCTGTAGGAAGGTGGGGTGTGAGAGGTTGCTACGCTTCGGGACAAAGTTAGCTTTTCTAAAAAATCCCTCATGTTTTGTTCCAAGTGAAGGTCTTTGGTTAAGAGTCAGTGAAACATTTGAATGTTTCTGGGTGGGGATGCTTTGCATAGAGGGTTACAGACTTAGGAAGGCATGCAAATCTACACTAACTGGAGGGGAGGGGAGATTAAAAAAAAATGAGCCAAACAATTCTGGGTTGATTTTCATGGTGATTAATAAATGTAAAAATGATCCTTCCTTCCTTCCTTCAAAGGTTGAGGTCACTACTCATTAAAACGACCTTATTCTGTTAACTCCTCTAATAGAGAACCTCTGAGGAGCTTCTGGGAGGTTTAGAGTAGAATAGAATAAAATTGAATTGAATTGAATTGAAAATCCCTTTATTGTCCCAAATGAGGAAATTCTGTTTTTTACAGCAGCAAAAAAAATATTAGAAAAAAAAACATATTAGAAAAAAATGTTTTCTTCTTCCAGATGATTCTGACCGCAGATGTTTGAAGATGCAGCTAGAAGCGTTTGTACGTGTCAGTGAGGCCACTATCCAGAGCTGTGTTTGCTTTTACCAACTGGAGCATCACTTCCAAGACTTTCCAAATACTGACAGACTCCAGCTGATTTTTTCTTCATTATTTTATTGCAGATAGTTTAGGGGACGTGACATGTAAGAGATTATTGTGATATCATCTCTGACCCGTGATTAAAATTAGATCTAAGGCCCCTCCTATTCATTCTGACAGCAGCTGTCTAAACTGTGGTCCGGTCCAAGATGGCCGCCCTCTAGGTACGTCGGCGAGCGTCCAATGAGGCGTCTACCTATGGAAAAGAGTGCTGAACCGGAGCGCTCCCAAACATAGACATAATATAAGAGTAGACCCCGATCGCTTTCGCCTATAACCGCTGATCTCTATTTATTCACTGGATTGCTGATTGCCCGTTGGCAGTACGGGGTTGAACTGGAGCCACAGGCCGCCATATTGCTACTCCCTCGTTAGACCAGTCAAAATGTAAACAACGATGTTCTCATTTTCAGGGGGGCTTAAGACTTTTTAAATACAGATAAATTCATCACTTTGACACACACTGGCTGTTTCATAGCATCAGTAGATTACTTTAACTTATGATAAAAAGAGTAGGCACATCACTTTGCATTATGAAGCCAATGATGTCTATAAATCATGTAATATAAAATGTTGTAAAAATCCATCATAATAAAATTAATGTGTTATTGGAGCATAATAATACAGATGTGCATAGAGTGCTAAATTGATGGTGTACATGTAATATACATGTTGATGACGTTGTTGTTATAACATATTACATATAATTTCAAAATTTTACATCAACACTGAATTAGAAGTAATTATCTGTTAATGCTGTAGTATTTTCCTATTTGCAAACTATGCATGCACGATGCCATATATAGTTATACTGTTTCTGTGCATTTGCCTTTAAAATGTTTGATTCTTTTTTTCCCTCATCAATATAACATGCAATATATTTCATGACTCTTTCAAATGAGAAATACAACAAACACTACAAAAACAACGGCATAATCCGCGCAATAAAGAATTACATTGATATTTCACAGGGAATTCCTTTCCAATTACTTTCTATTTTATAACATTAGACACAATGTCAATGACTAACTCAACTAAGTCAATATCCTTGAGTCAGTCTGAAATTGCCAGACTAATGTTACGCTACATACTATACTGTAGGATTCATTGGCATATACATGGATTTATTGGTTAGTACATCCACTGACTCTAAATTAGCTGTGGAACGTCTTCACACAGCCAGAAAACTGCTTGTTTTTGCAGCCAAATGCTACACAGGTAGGCATTTTGACTGCATTTCTCCATGGGATTGAGGAGTACTAATATGGCGGGCGGTGGTTTCACTTTTTTTTTAGGCTGTCAGCTGAGATCAGTGGCGATGACATGATTTGGTGGCGCCATCTTGGGGCGGTCGACAGCTCAGTTCAGTGTAATTTGTTGAGCAGGAACAGAATCAATTTTAATCAACTTCAACTTTCTGAATATTGAACTCATTTTCACACTGTTGGTTTTTATTTGCTGAAAACAAAC